CCATCTGAGCTTGTCGTTGATGGTGATGCCCAGATATTTAGCTTTTTTCACGATAGGCACAGCCTCGTTAAAAAGATAAACACTTTGCCTGATCGGAACATTTTTCTTCCTTTTCCTTATGAGTAGGAGCTGCGATTTTTGAGCGTTAATTCGTATCTTCCAATATCCACACCATTGTTCTATGGAGGGAATAGTGTCTTGGAGTTTCCGAATAGCATGATTGATGTTAGCAGACTTCACTGCCAAGGCAGTGTCGTCTGCATAACAGGCTAGCATAGAATTATGATTTAAATGTAATCTCGGAAAGTCTGAAACGTAGAATAGATAGAGTATAGGGCCAGTCACAGAACCCTGTGGAACACCGCTAGTCATTATTTTAGTGCTGGATAATTCATTTTTACAGAGACTCTGAATGTCCGATCCCTGATAAAAGAATGGATTAGCAGAATGAGTTCTCTGTCCAGTTGAAGGTCAATTAATTTAGCAATTAAGCCCTCATGCCAGACGCGGTCGAATGCTTTCGCCACGTCTAGCATGAGTATAGCAACATTAAGTTTGCAGTGCAGAGCTGCACCAGCGAATTCGGTTATTCGGACAAGTTGCTTCGTTGTTGAGAGGTGAGTACGGAACCCAAATTGTTCCGGCGGAAGATGCTGAAAATATGGTTTCAGTCTATTCAGGATAATTCTCTCAAAAATTTTGCCTAAGCCCGGCAGTAGACTAATAGGACGATATCCGTCTGGTCGGGTGTGATCTTTGGCCGGTTTAGGTAGTAAAATAATTTTAGCAATTTTCCAAGGTGTTGGAAAGTAAGAAAGAGCAAGACAAGCATTAAAAATACTTGTCAGGCTGCAGATGATGTTAGGCGGTAAATTTTTAATTGCTGTATTGCTGATTTCATCAATTCCTGGAGATTTCTTTTGTCTCAGGTGTGTTTGATAATATTAGTCGTTTCAGTAGGAGTGGCATATTTAATCGGAAGTCTGACTGAAGGGGCGTTGAGCCAATCCCTCACTCGTAGGAGGGTCTTTAATTCGAAATCAGAGTCATTTGGCCAATCATTTGGCGAGAACTGTTCTTGGAGGTGTGCTGCGAAGATTTCTGCCTTTTCCTGATTGGAGATGGCAATATTACCTCTTTCATAGAGGGGTCGATTACTTGTGAAGGAAGTTTTAAATTTTTTGATTAAAGACCAGAACGTACTTTCTCTAGAATCCAGATTTAACATTTTATCATCCCTTAGTTCTTCTTTGAAGGTTTTAATGGCCTTCTGAATTTGCTTATTTTTACAATTTATTTCACGTTTAAGTGCCGGGTCCCACGTTAAATGATAACATTTCCTGAGTCTATTTCGCTCTCTCATAAGCTGTCGTATTTTAAGGGGCAGTCTGAAAGCCTTATCACGTTAGTAATTTCAGTACTGGCTTCCTTAATTGCACCTTGAATGCTTTCACTTAAGGCATTAATTACAGTGTTTATGCCTTGTTTGGTATTGAGATTTTGCAGTCGAGGAGGTGAATTTTTCATGATATTGCTGAAGAGATTCCAATTCGTAATTCGCTTAGTAGAGAACTCAGAAGTTTTTGTCACTCCTAATGTTGCGATTACGGGGAGGTGGTCAGAGGACAATTCATGAAATACTTCCATTGCAACGGGGATAGTCGTTGTAGTGACTGCAATGTCTAGTATATCAGAAAATTCAATTCTATTATGAAGCCGCGTGTATTCTGGTGGGGCATGTAGCGCCACCGGATGCTGTAAAATATATTCATGGAGAATTTTACCATTTAGGTTTGTCCGACGACAGTTCCAGTCTATATGCTTAGCATTAAAGTCCCCGGCAGCAAGGGTAGGTATGTCATCCGGTAGAATGCTATTTAGAAAATTATCACATAGTCTATTCGTTGGAGGGTTATACACAGCACAAAAATTGATGTTATTAAACACAGGAAGAAGAACGACACACACAGTAGTTTGCTCACAATTAAAAATTTCTTGAATCAGATATAAGACAAGATGCATAATTACGTTTCACATATATTGCCACACCACCACCTCTGTGTGAAAGTCTATCACAGCGGTATGAATTATAATTTGCAATTCTCAGGCGTTGGCATGGTTTTGCATGAGTCTCTGATATGATTGCAATGTCAATATCATACTCACTTAAAAAATGGTGCAGTTCAGTAATTTTGGTGGGTAGCCCGCAGGCATTCCATATCATTATTTGTACGGGAGTACACTTTTTCATGTAATTAGCCATTAACAGGGGCTGCAGGAGTATGATCTTGAGATACGTATGATTTTGCCATCAAAGTAAATCCAGTTTCTTTTAGAGCAGAGACAAGCATACGTAGCTCAGCTGCAACTTGTTTTGCTTCAGTTAGAAATTCAGGAGCGAGGCTGGTGTTTAAAGCTTGTGCATAAGTTTTATTATGCACTACCCGATCAGAGAACGTTTTCACAGCCGGAGTGGTTTTGGGTTTTGGAAAACGCACACATAATCTGTAGTTAGCTGTATGACCTAGCTCATGACAATTGGCACATTTAGGCGGAGTTGCCTTGTCACAGTTAAATGATTCATGAGGTTCACTGCAACGACACAACGTGGTTCGTGATTGCAGTGCGATTGGGCGTGATGGAACCCTTGACAGCGATAACACTGCAAGGGTCCCTTACGGCCACGGTATCTCTCAACACTAATCTTCATTCCCAGCACAAATTTTAACTGGTGTATCTCCTTGTTTTTCTCCTTGCGGGTGAGAGTAACGAGAAACAGGGGAAGCTTAATAACTTCTCCGTTACGCCTGATAGTGAGTTGGTTGACCCGCACGACGTCGAGTCCATGTTCTTTTAGATCCATCATAATTTCGTCAGGGTCCATGTAAGACGGGAGGTTACGTATCACAGCTTTTATATGTTTAGATTCGGGAAGCGCATAGCAGTGATACCTGATGCCTTCTTCTTCTAGCACTTTTACCATTTCCCGATAAATGGTGGGCAGTTTCACTTTAATCTTGATTCCGTCCTTCATGTTTTCTCCATAGAAATCGTGAAGAGAAAAATTCTTATTATTAAACAGCGTTTTTAAGGCATTCCATGTGAATCTGCTGTCTTTGATTATAATCGGCGGCAGTTTTCTCACACTGTTGAACGGAGCGTTCTGATTGGTTGGAGGTATCTGCACTGGGGCGGGGTCTGTGTCCATATTCTGTTGCGGAATGAGATCAGAAACAGGGGGGAGACTTTGGAATTTCAAGAGCAGTTGCAACAGCCAGGGTGCAACAGCTTTTTTCGCAGGTTTTCTGGTGCGTCTGGTTCTGTATCCTTTGGGTTCTCCATCGGAGTCAGAGCTGACATCTAAAGCCTTGTTTTTTGTAAAGTCCTCATCCGACCTGGCGGGACTCTCAGCACGTCGAGCGTTGATTTTTGGGAGAGGCGGGAAGCCAGGGTTGTCATCAGTTTTGGTCTCAGCACGGTCGTCCAGTGTTCTGGGGTTCACAAATTCCTGGTCAGCAAGAGCTCGGAATTTTTTGAACAAATTCAGGTCTCTTGTTTCTTCAGGGGTAAGGAAACCTTTGTCTTCTTGACGGAGTTCCAGCTGAGTAATCTCAGCTGCAATGAAGTCCAGGAAACGTTCCATGATGCCGGTTGATGAAGTAGTGAAATGCAGAAAGTCTATGCTTAAAAAGCACAGGGTAAAAGCAGGTCGTTTTACAGCATACTAAACATAGTGGTTTGCATGCTGACCTGAATGCACAACCGAGAAAGCACAGCAGTTTCTCAGTCACAATAGTCAAACTCAGAAAAACGAGAGGTTAATACTGCAGAACAGCGAAAACGCAGAGCGAGGGGACGACTGAGCATCCGAGCGAAGCGCCTGCGTTCTTATGTGGTAGCGAAGAAGGCACTACTCACAACAGTGTTGCCAACAACCGTATTAAAACTTTCTCTACGTCCCCAAAAAATTGGAGACCTTTTTTTTGGGATTGCCTTCGTAAAAGTCAAGTGGCCGCCATCAGTCGACAAATAAGATGAGTTTCCGGTCGAAGGTTCAAATCAGTGAACTGAAGAATCTAGTGTGAGTAATATCAAATGGATATTTGTGCTTTTCTCCGGGAAATGGAGAACATCTAAGAGAGTTGATGCAGTTGTTAGGATGAGTGAGAACTGAATAGAAGAAATTTCTGGCAAGTTTTTGAATATAATCCCGAATTGTTTCTACTTTGAGATCACGGTGGATATACGAATTTGTAATGAACCATAGCGCGTTGATAATGTCTCCGAGTGCTTTGTTTTGAAGAACTTGGATGTGTTGAAGGTGAGTTTTGGCAGCGTGGCCTCAGACAGGACTAGCATAGAGTAATGCTGGTCGAAGTATAGATTTATGTAAGAGGAGTTTATTAAAAGCGGGCATATGACTTCTTCTGCCAAGAAGTAGGCGCATAGTTGCAAGCGTGATATTAATCTTTTTACATTTTTCCTGAGATGAACTTTTTTATTCTAAACATATGCTCATTTTAAAATTATTTTGCGACATTGCTGTTTTATGACTGAATTTTATGGTTTAAGAGCGAAGAACATTATACTTAATAAATAAAGGTAACACACAAAACGTTAAAGAAAATACCTTTGGAATGTCTTTTATTTATTTATTTATTTATTTTTTGATTTTTTACGGGGGAAAAGATTTGAAGTCTCTATGGTAAGAGATAAATAAATATCTTTGCGATCTTTTTGACACAGTGCGCAGATATTGAAATAGTATTAATGCGCATCACATGGCTCGCATATGGACCAATCCAATTGCACTCTCTACCAGAGATCTGTTGGATGCATAGCGAGTGGCGGTCACATTAATAACAGACTTGATCCTTGCCTTCCCCCTGTCTGAAATTTCGCCATAGATTGCGCCAAAGGAGTTTCATTTTCCCGCCAGAAAATACGGAGGTTCGATTTTGAAAAAGGCTATCTGTGAAATCTTCCAGGAGGTAATTGAAAGATTATCTCAAAACATTTTATTGAAAAAGGCAGTACGTTTACTTAATTTCTTCTGTTTATGGTAAATTTATGCATTTTCTTTCAATTTCTTTTTATTGATGTTCGTAATTGTTTTCGACCTAATGGTTGATAAAGAATAAATCTGTACACCTGTTTTTCGTCAACAATTGTAGCTGTTTTCTGATAGTTGTAAATCTAGGTAGATGAATTTTTGTTTATGTAAGCTCATTTAATTTTTAAATACACACTTTATTGTGTCATATATATGTTGATGTATGCTTATTGAGTATGTATGCTTGGGTCTTTTGATGTATGTTCAGTGATTATGAACCTAAATTGGTTAATTTAGATAAATTTCAGATGTTTAATATTTTAATTTAAGGATGTGTTTGATAAAATTTATGAATGAGGATTACATCTGCAAATTTTTGGATTTAAGTTGCATTTAGAACAGTAGTTACTTTATTTATAATCAAACTATTTTATTTTTATATATGAAAAATTGTCTTTAATTTTTTATATTAGAAGTATTAAAATTGTGAAATTGTACATTTTGGGATAAATTTATCCATTAAAAATATATATCTGATTTTGAATTCATTGGCCCTCTAAAAGAATTAAGTGTACAAATAATTTACTATTAGATTTAAAGTCCATGCACTATATATATTAAAATATATTTTTTATCTTTGTTGCTTTTTTTTATTACTTTAATGGGCACGTTATGAAAATAGTGTATAGGGAGATTAAATATGAAATACCTTATTAATATTTTAGAAATTTATGCTTTACATCTATAGGTATCTTTAATTATTACTTATCTGCTCCTATCAGTTATTTACATACTTCCTTTTTCACCCTTTATATTTTAGGTCTGAACAACTATATGCAAGTTTTATGTAAAAACAGAATCAGATCTAGAAAAGCATTTAAGAAGTACTCATTTTGTAAAGCAGTTCATATATCCTTGACCACAGCTGGAACAACTGAAGTTTAAGTATGACTTTCAAGAGATTAATAAAATAAGCCTCTGATCTCAATACCTCACCAAGTGACTGCTTTCTTCAGCATTTATACAAGACTATTCTTCAGAACGCATTGCCAATTTTCATTTGTCATGATAATTAGTATCTAATTATATTATTGTATATGTTACATCATCTGTAATATTTCATTAATAAATTATTCCAAAAGTGAATATTTGAACTGCTTAATTCATATATGCACCTCATTTAATATACTGTAAAATTTTCTCTGTGTTCACAGTACTTTCAGAAACTTAGACAAATATTATAAATTTAATTTTATCAGTACCCTAGAAATATTGAAAAAACTGAATATATGAAATGTGCATGAGATTCTAGTCTTGATTTCTTCATTTACTACCATACATAACTTATCACAAAAGCTTAATATGTAGTATTAATAAAAAAAATATGTACAGTATTTTTATCACTTAAGACTATTCTGTAGCTTATTGAATCAATTGCTTGGACTAGTAATTTATTTTGATGGCTTCTTGCAGTAGTTTGAGGTGAAAAGTTTACTTTACTATTTATCACAATTATTGCTATTTCCTCAAAAAAATAATTTCATTTTTCAAGTAAGATAAGGCTGTACCTTATTCATACAGGTTGAAGCAAGACTGGCACCTTTGCATTCAAGTAGGTATTATGGGGCCCTTGCTGATTGCTAAACTCCACTCTAAATGGAATTCCGATGGTCTCCTGCCCCTCATCCCCTACCACCAACTTCTTGAGATGATTTTAGCTTGCTTTGTGTGTTTAGTGATCCCTTACCACACAGACACTATGCTTACAATCATCCATGCCTTCTCCAGGATTCGAACCTGGGCCCTTTGGTAACGCATCAGCATCACTAACTACTAGCCTGTTTGGTCAGCACCTTATTGACACAAGTACAGGTTGAGCAAGGCTGGCATTCAAGTAATCATATTAAGTATTGCTGACCTTGCCAACTGTCAAGTTTCCATCCCGAATTAAGTTCTGAAGGAAATCATCCCAGTTGCAGTACGAGCCAGCCTCGCAAGACCAGTTCACCATGTACTTTGAGTGCATCCTTGCTATGTAGGGCACTCAAGATGAATACAAACAGTCATGCCTTTTCGGGATTTGAAATTGGGCCCTTTGGTACGACA